TGTGTGTGTGTGTGTGTGTGTGTGTGTGTGTGTGTGTGTGTGTGTGTAGGTAGAGAAATGTATGCTACACAGCAGCAATGAAACACTGACAGATTGGCTTTCTGGCAAGAGACAGACAGACGCCTATGGTTTCCCAACCCACCCACCTTGTTCCAATGGTTGCAGATCTGTCCATGGACATCAGCTGCTGCAGATAATAGCAGCCTATGTGTTGCTGAGAGTGGTGATGTGTGAGTCGGACTTCCAGACAGTCCTTTACATTTTTGAAGCACACCTTAGACAAGGCTTTTGTATTTTGGAAGATGTGGAGTAAAATGAGCTCAGCCTCACCGTGCTGGCTGTTCATCTGAACTCACTTTTTACCTGCTCAGTTTAGACAGCAACAACCACCAAATCAGATGGGCACGAACAGGACATCTTGGATAATATTCAGGATTCATTTTTCTGAACATGTTCTCAATACAGCACAACACGTTGTTTCATTAGGGATTATGTAGGAATAGAAAGAAGGTTTAAGACTGTATTTTACTTTAAAGAAAAATAAAAGAACACTGGAAAACAGCAAGCTAGCATTAATTCATATACGCACTTTCACACATAACTTCAAATCCAGATGTTCAAGTTAAAGCAGTTTCTGTAAACTTACATTTTGTCTTAAAACTATAGTTTTATATATATATATATATATATATATATATATATATATATATATATATAAAAACAGTGCAAATAGCTTGAACAAAAAATGCAGTGATAACGTCGTGTTGATGCAGAAAAACCATAAAAATAAACCAGAGATGAATTAAAACATTGTGTTTTGCTGTAGTACACAATGTGTCAACATTTTGCTGTTCTGTGACTTGTGACTTTTAGCACACATATCTCAATTTCTGCAGACACAATTAGTAAAACGTAAACATTTCTGAATTTTTTAAAGGGTGTCAGTGCAGCGGTGAGGATATGCATTTTTGGTACTTTTATGATTTTGTAGTTAATAAATTTATTTTTCTTTGTTGTTTGTTTCTTGTTTTTTCCTTTGTGTCTCCTTAAAGTTTTTTTTTTATAGAGCTTTGCTGCCTCAAAAACTTTTTGTTTTTGTTTAATAAAGTTGATATTTTTTATGATTTTTAACGTCTGCATGCCTTCATAAATTCAATCATCCATACTGTATTATTCTAAATTAAAAGAAAAGGAGCCGACAATTTAAAATACAGTGCATAACAAGAACCAAGATCTAAAGAATTACGTGAAAGCTTCAGCCAGTGGCCCATTATGATCACCATGGTAACCAGACATCTGTCTGTCACTTTGTGGCTGCCAAGTTAATGACAGGAAGACAGAAATACAGAAAATAAGGCTCAAACATAGTGGCTGTGTAAAAACTAAACAACAATTACACAAGATTCAAGTTTCTTTAGTGTGTCGGACAAAAACCTCGTACTTTTAGTTTTATACAGATGTTTTCAGTTAAAATATAATTAAAGTCTCTGGAAGTTGAGAGTACTTATACTCTGGAGGGGGGTGTTGAGGAAAAAAAAAAGTGCTATGGCTGTGAGAGACACACTGAGTAAAAAAAAGGCAAACAATTAATAAATAAGTAATTAAATAAACCTGCATTTTAATGCTTAAAATTTAAATGTACCAAAAAAAGACTGGATCAGATTCAATTCAATTCAGTTTATTTATATACAGTAGCACCAAGTCCCAACAGATGTTGTCTCAGGGCACTGGACAGAAACGTTCACATAAATTAAAAAAGCCAATTAAAGTTATCTGACATGATATCCTGTAGGCTCAACTAAGATGAGTTTGTGTAAAAAAAAAAAAAACGAAGACATTTTTTGACATCTCAACCGCTGTGTGCTGTCAGTTCAACATGTGGAAAATAATCTGTAAAATCACAACATTTCAATTGTATAGAAACCACAAATGATACCAAAATGCCGCAATCCCCACATGTAAAGTCCAACTTTCTGTGAGCCGTTTGCATTTCAAACCATGTTTCTGTGAAGAATGTCTGAGTTTCACAGCTCCAAAAAAAGAGGGTGGGTTTCTAAAGCAGTAAAATCTCTGTTTTAAAACATATAATTTACATGTGTGATTTCAGTGACAACAAATTAAACACAGCAGGGATAAGACTGACAAGTAGCAGATGTTGACATCTGTACAACTGGCACAAATGATGTTTGCACCAACACAGGATGCTCTTCCTGCAAACGTGTTGATCCTCAGCTCATCATGCCTCCACTGAAAGAAAGAAACGGCTGTTTCTGTGCAAGGAAGTAAAGTTACCTGAGCCAGGCGGTCTGCTTTAACGGACATCCATTCACATAAAAGAGCTTTTGTTGAAGGAACAGGCAGCCTTCCAGAAAGAGAGGTGCTCTAACCTTTTATTTCTTCCTTCTTCATCATTATTATAAGTTTTCATTTACAAACAGGTGGAGGAAAATTGAAACAGGATCAAATGTGAAGTTTTCTGGCTACACATGCATCAATCCTTTACATGTTTTTACTTTAAAAGTTTAATTTAGTCCATCTGTATTTCTGCTCAAGAGTGAAACGTTTACAAAGAACAATCAACAACAGCTTTAATGAGGGGGGGGGGGGCGATTTAATAATGCATTATTTATCGTTTAATTAAAGTAATTAAAATGAGATTGTAAATTTTGTTGGTCGCAACAATGAGGAAATATAAAACAATAAGCGCAGTAAATGAGCACTTTTATTTATTTAATGTTTTCTCTGAGTTAACTGGTTTGAATTTGCTCGCTTATTTATATTTAAAGTAAGGCTTTTAAAAATGATTTGTGATTTTGGATTGTATACGATGCAACATGAATCATTTCCGTGACGTTTTTGTTTGGATCTATTTTGAACAAAGCAGCGTTTTCTGCACACAGGTTAAATGAGAAGAAATGCTTGCAGAGAATTTGAAACAATAAAAAGTTTAAATTAACAGTTGCGGAACGTGAATGTATAATTTAAGAAATGATTATTTGGTCCTTTAAAATCGTCCCATATGAACTTTTTGTGAGGTATTTGTTTTAAAAGAAACAGAACATGCAGTGCAGGGACTCATGCATCACTTGGCCTTTTTTTGTTCAAGCAATTTACGATTTATTTCTACAAGATCTATTTGCTTTCAGCACAGTTCCATTTCTGAGGATACTTTGGCTTTTTAATTTTTCTATTACTAATTTCAGAGGGACTAAAGATTACTTTTAAACTCTACATTTCAGGCCTAAGAGCGGCTCGAACCGATCTGAGAGCAGTAGTTTGCCAACTCCTCGCAGCATCCTCCGAGCTCTGAATGAGCGCTCCTGGATAAAACGTGTCCGGGTGCGCCCTTAGAGGCGCACTGCTCCGGACACGCGCTGAAAGCGGCCGCGCGCGGTATTTGATGGGAGTAAAAGAAGCTGGCCTGTCCGGCGATCACGTTAAAGGGCTCGGACAGCGGCAGGCTGCACGCGGGGATGGCCGGAGAGAAGGCGGCGCAGGGCGCGCCGATCGGATGGCGGCGCGTTTGCGCGCAGCTCACTTCGATGTAGGACAGATCCTGGCGCGTCTGCGCGTGCTCGTCCGCCTTTGCTGCTTGTGCCGCCGCTGCCCTCGCGTCCAGCCGGCCTCGCAGTGAGACCACCGATGCGGCGTGGTTGGAAAAGTGAGGCTGGGCGCTTAGGTACGCCCCCGCGCCCAGATGGGCGCGCACTGGAGGCTGGAGAGGCAGGAACGGCGGCACGGGCCAGTAGAACGAGCTCGCCAAGGTAACGCTGGTGTTGGGGGGCATCAGTCGACCCCCTCCTCTTTTCAGACCAAGTTTGGAGCTCGCAGCGGAGGCTCTGCGCCGCAGCTTCCCGGAAGTGCCTCCTATGAAGACGTCGTGACTGCAAGGGTCCAGCGTCCAGTAGTTACCCTTCCCAGGGTCGTCGTAGTGGCGCGGAACCTTAACGAAGCACTTGTTCAGACTCAGGTTGTGCCTGATGGAGTTCTGCCAGCCTTGTCTGTTCTGGCGGTAGTAGGGGAAGTTGTTCATGATGAACTCGTAGATGCCGCTGAGTGAGAGCCGGCGCTCCGGACTCTGGCGGATCGCCATCATGATGAGCGCGTTATAGCTGAAAGGTGGTTTCTCGACTTTAACGCCTTCCTCCAGTGTTTTCTTGAAAGTTCCTGTATTCCCCTCTCGACCCGCACCCTGTTTTGAGTCATCAAAGTCCTCTTGCGCGCGTGCGGAGGGCAAGCGCGCTTTTTGGGACGGAGAAGGGGAACCGCGCTCAGCCATCGCCGCCTCTCGTTCCCGCAGCAGGCTGCTGATGCTGAACGAGCAAGACTGGTGGAAGAATCGCTTGGGAGCTTTCAAGTCTTCCATCTCCAACTGGGAGGGCACGCGGTCCCTCCTGCGGGCTGGAGAGAACGTCACTGAGCTCGCGACGCTGAGCCTAAAGTGGTGACGACCCCAGGGCGCGCTGGCCAACGAGCGCGCCAACAGTTGCGCGTGATCACAGCAGCGGCCCGCGAGACTAACCTGATTTTGGTTAAAAAAAATTCTGTTGGTATCAAAGCCGACTTGTTAAATAAACTTTTTCAAATGTCCATCCACCAGAAAATAACAACATGCTGCAATGTAATTAAATTAAAAACAAGCGCTGCACTCAAATAGTATTGGGGCTGTAGTTCATTTTAGGGATTTATTTACATTAATCTCTCTTAATTCTTTGGGTTTAGTGAAGACAACTTACTTTTATGGGTTGGGTTCAATTAACTTAAAATTCACACTTTGATCTGAAATAAACTTTTTACTTTGAGGCTAAGTGAGACAATTAAGCCAGTTTAATGCAGCTTAATTAATGCAGTCTGACGTCCACGTCTGACGTCATGACGTACACTTCACCCGAGGCAGATCCCACTGTGCCTGTTTGGAGTCCATGATGTCAAAAGCAAAAAACAGAAAGAACTACGGTATATATCATGAATTTGATAATACTCTTAGGGAAATACCACATACACAAATCAAAGTTGTCACTCTCTTCCCTCTTTTCAGGCTTTGGAGTGTGAACTTTGTCAACATTTCTGACTCTAATAACAAAAAAGCTATAAAAACACTTGGTTTGTGCACCTTATTTATGTGTTTATTTGAATAATTCACCTGGGTTTTCTTTATTTGTTTGAGTGTATATGGAGAACTGTCATTGTAATGTTTTACTTTTAAAGATGTCACTGTACCGACCGCTTGTTCAGCCGCCATTTTTTCTGAGCATCAACCACCGACAAGATTCAGATTACAGTAGTCCCTCGCTACTTCACGGTTCGACTTTCGCCGACTCGCTCTTTTGCGATTTTTCAAAATAAGATTGGACATGACACACAATTGGCTGATCGATGGATTCGATGCACAATCGGCATGGATTTTTTAAATTTTAAATAAATTATTTTAAATTATTTAGCACCTCCTGCACCTGTCTGCAGCTCACAGGTGCAGGGAGAAGCTCCCTCCTGCAGTATGTCATGATCTCCACTCTGCAGGTGGCAGAGTGCAGCTGGAGGCAGAGAGCTGAAATCATGACATGCTGTGCTCTTTTAGAGCGTTTAGAGTTGAGAAACATTGTTTATAATATATATATATATATTATATAATATATATATATATATATATATATATATATATATATATATATATATATATATATAAGCTGGTGACGTTGCACGTTTGTGCTGAGATGTATTGTGTCACTTCCTGTTTGCCTGTTGGTAGCTCGAGTGATTTGTTTGCTCGAGTCATCATACCACTGATGAGGATGATGTTGGGCTTCCTACTCCTATGGTAATCAGTGGCCATCAATCATTGATACAGGTAAATCTACATCCTTAATAATGTTTATTTGTGTTGTTTTGTTACACAACAACCAAGTTTTTATTTTTCCTGTGATGAGAAACTATCCTCCCACCAAAGGGACTGGTTCCGAAAGAGCGTATGCTCTATGGTGCAGGAGGACCTCGTCAAAAAGAGATGTTGGAGCAGCTAGTCACTTAAATTTCCCTCAGTTCTTTTTTCCAATCCATTCAATGTTTTAAGCTAGATTAAGCAAAAGTGACAGCCTGTACAAGCCAGATAAACAACATGGCGTCAGTATTCAGGATGACAAGAGAGGAAGGATACGGTTAATTAATGTAGTTTACAGTTCGGTTAATTTGTTTTTAATAGTGTGTTCAGTTTTCTTACCGGTGTTGGTATGACATACAGTTTGTGGTGTTGAATAACTAGATAAAAATTAAACCTGTTGTCTTCATTTTCAACTTTAATAACAATAGCAATATGTTTTGCATAGTTTAAATCACATAACTTGAATTTCATAATGTCCAGATAGCTTCATTTAGCTCAAATAGCTTCATTACATATTATAAATATTTTGTTTATTATTCTTAAACTGTTATTATTGAGCACATTTAGTATGTTATAGTCCAGCGGGACACGTGAAATATATGCCTGCCTCGACAGGCTCGTTCAGCGATATTAGAACTGGATCCAACTGGCATTTCTTCTCAACACAGATGTTGGAACACAGATGTTTAACAAGAGCTAAAAGATCAGGCTGGAACAGGCCAGTTTATTTGGACACACCATGAGGAGACAAATGTTAAAACATCTTGTAGCAACTGGAAAAATAAAAGGAAAGAGAAGTCGTGGAAGACATAGGGAGATGTTGGCAGACAACTTGAGTCATTTTATGGGCGCAACTGTCACGGTCAGCGGCCCCCGCTGCCCCCCCATCTGCCTAAGCCTCTGCTCTTTGTGTGTTTTCTGTTTTTGTGTATCTGGTCCTGTTATCCCACAAACTAAATAATTTCCTTCCTTTTCAAGGTGCTTTGTAAATGTGTCACTTTAATTACATTCTGAGTTCTGTTTGACAGGTTCTGTCTCTGTCTGCTCTTTATGCTTTTGTTGTTCTGCTCTGTGTGTGATTTTCTGTTTATCTGATTCTGTTATTTTCCACTCACTCCTCAGTCTGCCTCTCCACTCAGTCTTTATCATTCACACCTGTTCCTCATCAGCCACCTGCCCAGGTGCTCTCATTACTCACTCTCCCTCTGTCTTATAAAAAGCCTTTCTCTCCTTCACTCCTTGTCCGGTGATTGTTCTGTGTTCACAGACATCTCAGTCCTCTTCTGTCTTGTCTGTTTTTTGTCCCCCCCTGATGATCTGCTCTGCCTTGTTTCTGATCCTGTCTGCCCAAGTAAGTTTTGCTGCACCGACAGCCTTTTGTTTTGTTATTAAAAATAAATTGTTTTTGTTTTTGAACTCCTGCCTCGCTCGCCTCTCTGCAATTGGGTTCCAACACTGAGGATCGTGACACGCAACACCCACTGGTCTCCTGCAGCTTGTGAAATATCACGTCGAATACAGAACCATGATCGCTAACACCTTTTGGCATGGCACTCAGAAGTACAGGAATGCACAAATCAAGTAAAATGGCTACTGCACAGGTATTTCCATGTTGTAAACATCCATCAGGTGACATGAAAATCAATGAACTAACAATAAGTGACTTTGAAACAATATAAGAAGTTTAGTTATAGTTTATATTTTAATGCAGGGATTTTCTCTTGCACTCATCAGGAACTTGTTAGTCTCTTCATGTGTTTTGCCTCCTTATGTTGACCCAGAACCACCATGCAGGCTTTCAACTCATTGAAACCTCTTTGAATCAAACAGCTAAAATATTAACAATCAAGACGACACAATAAATTTCAGAGTTAGTATTATAAAGTTTGTTCACCTCACATATTTCAGTAATAGAGGTGGTGAAGACTGAGCTGCAGCTGATCGTAAAGTATTTTCCTGAAAACACAATCAGAAATCCACTTTGAGCTTTACGTTATTCTCCTCAGTTGTGGCAATACGACATAAAGGTTTTCTCCTGGGCATTCTGTGGCTCCTAAATCTCGATGTCCAAACAGGACAAAGTGTGGTTGTAAGAATCCGTGGGAAACTCCAGACACCAGCAGCTGCTTGACTGACTGGAGTGCATCTTTGCTTGGTGTGTCATCTGAAATTTCACAAGAAGAAGTTGTTTGCTGAATCAGTCACCTATTTAAACCTATCTTCTTTTGTATTCTTCATATTCATGTTGATGTTAAAAAAAAGAGTGCTCACTGTTAAAATTCCCCATAAATGCAATGCCCAGGGTGTCGTGATTGTGGCCTTTGGTGTGAGCTCCCACCACACCCCAGCCACGACCCTCCAAAACAATGCCGTCCCCACCAACAAGAAAACTGAAAAATAAAAAGATGACGTTAACAGAAGTTCAAGTCAAATTTTTTTTGTCATTTTCATCACATTTGGGACATGAGGTGGAACGAAATTATGTACACGGGTCAGTTACACCCAACAATAGCAAAAATATTGAAGGAACACATAAAAAAACCCTCTTGAAATACAATGTATTCACTGAAACCTTTTGAGAACAAAAAAATTATGGGGTGCCGTTTGTAAAGTTACACAGTCAAAAATTAACAGCAATGTTTTGGTTTATTTATAGTCTTTCATAAGAAAAAAAAAGTTTGTTTTTCAAAGTCACATTTTCACCATGCCATTCATACATTTATAAACGTCATAGTTCCAAACTAAATACTTAATTTACAAGATAAATATTTAGTTTAAAACTAAATGTTTATGTCCAAGCTAGTTAGAGAACTAAATACTTAGGTGTAAACTAAATATTAAATTTCCAAGCTAAATATTAATTTTCAAACCTAAACATTTAATTTCCAAGTTAAACATTTAATTCCTAAACTAAACAATTAATTTGCTAACTAAATAACTGCTAACGTGGAGACTGTAATACATGCATTCATTACATCTAGGCTTGATTACTGCAATTCACTCCTGTTTGGTATCAGTCAAACCTCCATTGCACGACTACAACGGGTCCAGAATGCAGCAGCCCAATTTTTAACCAGTACAGGCAAAAGAGAGCACATTACACCAGTTTTGGCCTCCCTGCACTGGTTACTGGTTCACTTTTGAATCCAGTTCAAAATACTCATGTATGTCTACAAATCACTGAACAGATTCGCCCCCCCCCATCTCTCTGATCTGCTACAGCCATATTTCCCACCACGCTCCCTGAGGTCAGCGGACCAGTTGCTCCTCACAGTTCCAGGAACTCGTCTTAAGCGCAGAAGTGACAGGGCCTTCTCTGTAGCAGGACCAAGACTTTGGAACGAGTTACCTCTGCTTGTCAGACAAGCCCCCTCCCTCTCGGTTTTCAAGTCCTGTTTAAAAACTCACTACTATTCAGTAGCTTTCAACACCTGATGTTCTGTGTCTTGATCCTGTATGCTCCACACTGGTTTGTCATCATTATCTGCATCGTTTTTATGTCTATATTCTGATTTACCTCATTTTGTATTTTGCTTTGTGTGTTACCTGTTGTTCTGTCTGTACAGCACTTTGGTTGGCCTTGTCGCTGTTTTAAGTGCTCTATAAATAAAGTGGTATGGTATGGTAAATATTTAGCTCAGACCTAAATATTTATTTTCCAAACTAAACATTTAATTTCCAAAATAAATATGTAATTTGCTTTATTTAAATATTTAGTTTGTAAAATAAACATTTAGCTTGGATATAACCATTTAGTTTATAAACTAAATATTTAGTGTGGAACTAAATCTTTAGCTTGCTAACTAAATATTTAACTTGTAAATAAAATATTTAGTTTGGAACTATGACATTTATAAATTTATGAATAACATGATGAAAATATGACTTTGAAAAAAAAACAAAAAACTTTTTTCTTATGAAAGGCTAAATAAACCAAAATATTGCTGTTAATTTTTGACTGTGTAACTTTACAAAGAGCACCCCATAATAAACTAAAGGGATACTCACTTATAGCCGATGTCATCAAAGTCTCTTTCATTCATGTGGAACCTCTGGATGTGCATGAGTCCGTCCTTACACTCTGCCATGCCTCTGCAGCTCTGAAAGGCAGTGTGGTGGATCACAACTCTCTGAGCCGGGGCTCTCAGAGTCTCCTTATGTTTTGGGGGGGCTGCCCCCCACTGTTCCCTGGAAACTATGTTCACTGGAAAGCATTTTGAAGGCAAGGAAAAGCATGAGTAAAAACACGTTATTCTAATAAAAAAAAAGCTAAATGGTAGAGATTCGTGCCTGTTTTCATACCTGTTTGCTTCATGAGTGCACTCTCAGCTGCTGCTGGGGTAAAGACCTGCACCAGACTGAACACCTCCCTCATCAGAGTTAGATAAGGAGGGAGTGGTTATGGAAAGTACACCTTCCGTGTTCTTCATTGTTGCACTGAAAATCATGCAAACAAGTTTTTTTCACAACTGGTCTTGCTGGTTGGTGCTGTCCAATCAGCTGTTAGGAATATACATGCTTGAAAAATAAGGAAGTGGAACTGAGTTTTGCTCGGCACACACTGGGTGACAAATGGTGGCATTTTCCTTCCCACAGATCAGGCATGACTCTGTCACAGTGAAGACAAAAAGTCCCAGAAGTTGGTGTGAATGTAAACGCTTGTGGGCGTATTTAATAATTACAAAATCTGCAATAAAACATCGTTTCTAAAAAGTTGAGAAGAAGAAAATGAAAATAATAATAATTAAAAAGCCAATCAGGAATCTTGTGGCAGCACACTCAAAAACTTAAACCTTCCTGACCCTGTAAAGAGTTGAACATAAGTTAAAAATACACACCCAGTCACAACCAATTGGTGGGAATGGAGTGAGATTAATCTGTATGTGAATTCAGCTGCATAAGAAATGCAGCTTAAAGCGTGCAACGCTTTGAATTGATAAAGCTCCCAGGATGGGAAAAAAACATCTTCATCTACAGGAGTCCATTCGCTTCTTTTTAATTTTCTTTCTTGTGTTTGCCAAGTCCTGGATAAATGGCAATTAAACCAGCATACAGATATCAAAGTGGTCCTTTATAGCACTAATAAGTATTTGAGGACACCCACGTGTTCTAAAAGTCATCAACACAGTCCGCACCAAGAGACGATTGTTGTGTTGTGTCAACAACCTCATAGTACTGAACTGTCCATAACGCCTTGATCAACGACTGGCATCAACTGGACTACAGGTTTATCATCTCGTGTGTTGGCTTCCATTAGCATTGACAGCTGTGTTTGAAGTGGTGCCATAACTAGGAGTCGAGGACTAAGGACAAATGGTGTATCAATGCAATGAATCTCAGTTTTGAATGACCACAAAAGGTCATTGGATGTGGCAGTGTCGGGTGGCAATCAACCTTTATTTAGACAGGTTAATCCCATGGAGCCTCAGGGACTCATTTACAAGAGAGACCTGAATCGTGCCAGTTTTGTGGAAATACACACCTCCATTACCGCTGGCATTGTGGGGTGGGAAGGCACGCGTCGAGGACAAAAAACAAAATGCTAGCGCAGACCACACCTAATTTGGTCAAAGGTGAGACGAACAAAAAGGAGGGAACACTTCAGTTGTTTGGTTGGAGTTCAGTGAGGCGTTCCATAAAAACTGGAGAAGTCTTGACCTCCTAAAAACAAGATTAAGGGAGGTGAAAGGGGAGTTTTTTTATACTGTGGTGTAAGGTGTCTCTGGGAATGGTTTAAATGTGGTTTTTCCCGCTGATGCTGAAGTAAATTATTTCAAAATTCAACTTTGTGAGTGTATTTGGTGTATAGCAACAGTATTTGCAGATTTGCGCGTGGAATCATTCTTCAGTTCTTGATGAATACCAGGTTTCAGACGTGTAACAGTCCAGTGGTTCTGACTTTTCTTGATGTGTGTTGTTCATCCATCCATCATCTTTACCCGCTTCTTCCTTTTTGGGTCATGGGGGGTCACTGGTGCCCATGTCCAGCCATCACTCACTGCGAGAGGCGAGGTACACCCTGGACAGGTGTCCAGTCCATCACGAGGACATGTAGAGACAAATGAGACAAACAACCATTCACTCTCTCACTCACTAGAGACAATTTAGAGTTACCAATCAGACTAACATGCATGTTTTTGGTCTGTGGGAAGAAACTGGAGTACCTGGAGAAAACCCAAGCATGCACGGAGAGAACATGCAAACTCCACGTAAAAACGTCCCCGGCCGGGATTTGAACCGGGGCAACCTGCTCGCTGAGAGGTGGCAGCTCTACCAACTGCACCACCGTGCTGCCCCTGAAACAACCAGCAGTGCAAATATACGGTGTCCTTCATGATTTGCACGGCAAAAGTTACTTTATTTTTTTTATACATCACTGGATTTAAAAGGTATAAACAGGACTACCCTATATTGCACATTAAACGCCCATTGACAAACTATTATACAGCAATGTTTAGCAATGGCCTGGACAAGCAGACTTCGTATAAACTTTGGCCTTGATTTGTGACCTTGACCTTGGAGCTGAGGTGATGAAGTGTACGTGACTCTTTCTCTAGTGATGATGCATTTGCATATGAAGTTTTGTTAAAATATCCTGTGCGGATCAGAAGTTATGGGTCGGACAAGAGAAAGTTTATGAATGTACGGACAGAGACTTTACGTAATAATGTCAGGAATGTAGATATGTCCTGATATAAATGTACATGTCCTGTAAGATACAGGAATGTAGACAGTGCAGAACTGCATCACTGTAGTTGTAATTTCAATAATACGAACATTATATTTTTGTTTTTATTTGCAGTTTACAGGTTTTTTTAATATATTGCTGGAGAGTTGTGTTTACAGTTTATTGATCCAATAAAATCTGTGGAAAAAATACTACTTCCTGGTTTGTCTGTAGATGCTGGTAAATGTTTAAACTTGTTATCAAATGGTTTATGCAGTCTTTTAGAAATCATCCATTTTTATTTTTTAAAAATTGTTAATTTTATTTACGTCTCAGTGAAGAAATGTATGCTATTAAAAGCAGGAAGATAAAACCGTGTTTAAACCTTTGCACATTAGTGCAATTTGACTTTCGGGGGTGGGGACGATAACATTTTGTGTTTCTAGTGTTTAGTCAAATTTGTCACTCGATTCAGTTTGTGGTATTTTGGTGGGAGTAGTTTTGATGAAATATAATTTTGTTTTTGATATGGTGAAAGGGCTTGCAAATCACCACAGAATGGAAAATACAATCGTTGATCAGAAAAACACATAGGTCAAGCTAAATATAATTACACGACTTTGGGGTTTTTACTGAGAGACCAGAGGAACCCAAGTTTCATTGTGACTGCAACCAGGAAGTAAAATATGGTAATCACAAAGTCTGGAACTACTGAGGTTACAGTTAGTATCATATACACTGCATGGACAAAAAAAAAGTTGCCACCAAAAAAAAAAAAGGTCACACACTAACATTTCATTGGACCTCCTTTAGCTTTGATTACATCATGCATTCACTGTGGCATTGTTTCAATAAGCTTCTGCAATGTCACAAGATCTATTTCCATCCAGTGTTGCATTAATTTTTCAACAAGATCTTGCAGTGATGATGGCAGATTCTGATCATAGCACAAATATGGTGGCCAATCCATGTGTGAAAATGATGTCTCATGCTCCCAGAACCACTCATAATTTGAGCCCGATGAATCCTGGCATTGTCATCTTGGAATATTCCCGTGCCATCAGGGAAAAAAAAACAAAATCCATTGATGGAATAATCTGGTCATTCAGTATATTCAGGTAGTCAGCTGACCTCATTCTTTGAGCACACACTGTTGCTGAACCTGACCAAATGCAGCAACCCCAGATCATAACACTGCCTCCACAGGCTTGTACAGTAGACACTAGGCATGATGGGTGCATACTTCACCTGCCTCTCTTCTTACCCTGATGCACCCATCACTCTGGAACAGGGTCAATCTGGACTCATCAGACTACATGACCTTCTTCCATTGCTCCAGAGTCCAATCTTTATGCTCCCTAGTAAATTGAAGCTTTTTTTCCAGTTAACCTCACTGATTAGTGGTTTTCTTAAGACTGCACAGCTGTTCAGTCCCAATCCCTTGAGTTCCCTTCACTGTGTGTGTGGAAATGCTCTTACTTTCACTATTAAACATGTCCCTGAGAGCTGCTGTTGTTTTTCTTCCATTTGATTTCATCAAACATTTAAGTGATCGCTGATCATGATCATTCAGGATTTTTTTCCGGCCACATTTCTTCCTCGAAGACGATGGGTCCCCACTATCCTTCCAGTTTTTAATAATGTGTTGGACAGTTCTTAACCCAATGTTTCTTCAGTCTCCTTAGATGTTTTCTCTGCTTGATGCCAATGATTTGACCCTTCTCAAACAGACTGACATGTTTTCCACGACCACGCGATGTGTCTTTCAACATGGTTGTTTAAGAAATGAGAAGCAACTCATTGCACCAGTTGGGTTAAATAACTTGTTGCAGCTGAAAGATAATCACCCATGCTGTAATTATCCAAGAGGAGGCTTGTATCCATTTGCTTAGTTAAATCCAGGTGGTGACTTTTTTATTTTGGGCAGGCAGTGTAGATACAAGCAAACGACTGAATATATTTCAAATATGGATTTCATTTTGTTGAAAACAACAAAGTCCATGCTCAATAATCCAGGTATAAAATCCATCTGACTTTATATCTGAATTATTGAGCATGGACTTTGTTATTTTCAACCAGTCTGACAAGACTGTCAACAAGGAAGAGGGCCAGCAATGGAGGAGGGGCGTACCAAAGATCCATCTTATCACAAGCAGAACTGGTTTGTTACACTTTGGAGTAAGCTGTTGGGGGAAGAATCAGTTTTGTTGTGTTTCCTTGACTGATGAAGCCTTCTGGATGGAAGGCAAAATGTTTCAGCACAAAAGAAAGAAACTGTCCAGATGATCTGACTGAAAAATGTTGGATTTCATTTTGTATTTCACACACAGCCATGCCTTTTGTCAACTCACTCATTTTAGTTTGATCTATAAAAAGCATAAATAAGTCACTGCAAAAAAGAACAACAAACAAATGTAGAAATTTTGAGTTAAATATAAACTGTTAGGTGCAGAAACAGTCACAGAAAATGTTGGAATTCCATTTAAAGCAGCGTTTTTTAGCATTATTTCACTTTAGTGTTATTGTGGTGATAAAAGCCTTTATTGTTTCAAATTAATCCTGAGAGCTATTTAGTAGTTGAGCTCATATGCAAAGTATACAAATAATACACAGCAAAGTATGTTATCTGGTTTTGGGGAAACTAGTGTGGAAAAAAAAAAATCAGGAAAACTAAAAGCGACAGGTTAAAGTTAAACTCGTCTTAAAATCTTCGTCCCAAGTCAGTGTCCTTAAACGTGGGAAGGTAAAACTTAGCAGGTAAAAGCTGTGGCACACAAAACATTTACAAATTTTAAACCCCAAAAACATAATTTCAATCTATTCTAGTTTGATAATTTAATAATAAAAAAATAACTTTTGAAAACACTGAATCTCTTGGTTAAAATCATAGGAAAAAAAATGGAACAAGTTAACAAAGAGGGTAGAATATCATTTTATTTCCAACTTGAAAACCAAAACATATTCTTAATCTAACAAATTACACTGAAACTAATCGATAACAAATTTTTATATTCAAAAAATGGTCAATGTCAATCATCAGATGATGTTTTCAAAAGGTTCAGCTGCTATTTGACAAAATCCTTCTTACAGTCCAGTTTGAATGTTTAACTCTGTTTCACAGGACGCACACACACGCGCGCGCACACACACACACGCAGACGTACACACACACACACACACACACGCACACACACGCGCGCGCACACACACGCAGACGCACACACAGGAACTCTTCAGAATGAGTAGCTTTCATTCTGTCCACCTATGTCCACAGTGAGGAGCCGTGCAGACGTAGTACAGCCGCATAGCATCCTGTGATGAACAAAACACAAACACGTTTATTCACCTTTTACTGCTGATCAAACAGAATCACTTGAAAACATATTTGCATATTCACACTAAATAGAAATCTTGAGGTAACTTCACCAACTAATTAAACAACTTTCTTAACTATCTGTAAAAAAAACAAGCAACTTCAAATGTTCTGTTCTACCAGTTTTAAAGTAGAAAAAAGTAGAAGTGGATTTTTATGCAAGTGTAAATATAAAAACATGCTTTTTGAAAAAAGACTCCTCTATTGGCAGAACTGCTGATTCAGCTGATTATGTTCTGCAAGACCTGACTCCACAGATACTGCAGTGAAGAGATGAACAACAACAAATGACACATTCAGTGTGATTACCTCAGCCTTCATACTGTGCGACTGGAAGAACACTGCCTCTTTGTGGCCACATCTGAAAAATGACACCATACTGAATAAGATCAGTCAGCTTTTGTTCTCCAACATAATATTTACTTCATACTTTAATTTCAAACAATATTATCGTTTAACGCAATAATTAATCGCCCAGTAAAATTAGTTATCGTGACAGGCCTAGTCACATTTTTGTGTATGCAGACAGTTCAACTATGCTGAAATGTACGTAAAACGAATCAACCAATGGTTATTCAGGCTAAATTAACACATTTTGTGTGTCTGTAAGGACGTGAGACGAATAGAGTAAACACTTGCTTTGGACATGGGTGATCCTCAGTTCTTGGCAGCGTTGGATCCTGGGCTACGTCAGCAATGATTTGTGTCAGTTCACTGTGAAGAACAAAAACAAACAAACAAAAAACAAATAAATGACCAAAACAAAGATTAATGTTGGTACAATTTTGTGGCTTGTATTTACTGCGTTAGCCCGAAGTGACCAGATGGTGAACAAATACTGTCTCAAAGTAAACTCAATATGTGGTACTACAGGGAAACTTTACTTTCCCCCAAGTCTTTGCCTAATATGTATATTTTAAAATATTTATCACATGTCAAGAAATACTTTATCTAATCAGGGCTTAGCTGAAAGTGTCTGCCTGATGATGCAATTTTATCTGACTATATCAAATTTCTATTTCATTTTCCTTCTTTCAGCTGCTCCCTTCTCCAGGGGTCGCCACGGTGAACTAACTCACACGAAGACTTGACAGTTATTTTTACACGGGATGTCCTTCCTGACACAACCACAGACCACCGAGCTACCACAGCGCTCTGTGTGGAGCAGAGAGCTGCTATCTAAGGGCACCCGGGGGAGCAGATGGTGGGGGCTAAGAGCCTTGCATTTGCATCCAGTTGTAGTATGACAATATATGAGATATATATGCATACTTTTTCACGAGTTCCTCATCTTTCTGACTGTGTAATGTCGTGCATTGAATTTAACAGAAATGTAAGGCAAATGAGGGTGGAGGGAAGTGTGGGTGCTTCACCTTTTCCACTCACATTTTGATGTTGTTGGTACTGGGAGTTGAACCAGCGATCTTCCGATCACAGGCCCACCTTCTCTAACCTCAGTGCCACCATATCAGAAAATGCCCCCCAATAAAATTAATCAACATTAAAGTAAAGTAAAACATAAAAACTAAAAGAAAGAGAGTCCTCATATTCAAACCGTTTCTAGTTTTAAGTTAAATAAGGCTTTTGCTGCTTTTTAAAATAATTGTTAAATATATGCAGAGTTAAAAACAAAAAGCATTTTATAGATGAAGTGTACAAATAGTTTTAGCCTTAAAGGAACAACCGACCTGGTTTTTACTTTAAGCAAGGGGAAGCTACAACAACTTTTGACAAGACCAAACATCTGCAACCTGCAGCTCTTGTGACTGTTTGTTTCTTCAGTAAAGGTTTTTTGTAGCGTTGAACAAAAGTAACATCAAAATTAAAAACATTTATAGCTACAATCAAAACGCTAATTCTAGTAGCTTTCTAGTTCAGTTCTAAATCATATTTGAATAAAATGTCCACAACAAAATGATATTAATTACATAAGTTTGTCCTAGTAGTTTGTTAGCCTGCTAGCCACTTCGTTAAGTTAACTTCCAGCCATGCAGATACATTCATCCACCAGAAAATTAAACATCTTGAATGCATTTGGAGCAAGAAGCAAAAAGAAAAGAGCAGTAATAAAGCTGCAGTGACATACAATCTTGTTTTTGGATTACATACTCTACTTCGTGGGTGATCTTGTTGACGTAGATGCAGCTGTTGTCGGCCTCTTGCTGGTAATCACAGTTCCTGCACTGCAAATCCAAAAAACAGGTACGTCAGGATATAAAAAATAAAAAAACGAATACTGCACCTAAACGAATGAAAACTGATAACAACATGAGTCATTAACTTTATTTTTGTTTGTCACACTTATAGGTGTGAATCACAAACATTTAATATTGTTGCTTATCAATATGAAGCCAACTGTCTTCCTGAAAACATTTAAAATCCTTAATTTTTATTTTTTTTTAAAAACAGGGAGTACTACTTGCTGATCTTAAAAACAGATATTGGTCTAAAGCTGCCTTATTTCTGTAAAAGTTCAAGTAGGTTTTATTATCATTTGCATCACATGTGGTACATGAGGTGGAACGAAATTGTGTACACAAGACCCCAGTTACATCCAACAATAGCAAAAAATATAAAGTGTAAAAACAACAGTAAAATCTACCATGAATGTCAAACTCTTGTTTTATTTGTTGAACGATATATGAAAAACAGAAAAAACTATGTAGAAGACATTATGGGGTTTAAACACTTATTCATTATATTATAATGAACCTTAAACGAAGGTACAGCGTTTGCTGAAACTTAGCTATACTGGATTAAAAATGTCCTTGTGCACTGTTGTCATCATTCTTTGTTGAAATCAGGTCTCTCTTGTAAATGATTCCTCGAGGCTCAATGGGATTAATCTGTCTAAATAAAGGTAAAAAAAAAAAGACTTACCGCATACAGCAGGATGCGGTTCTCCTTGTCTTCCTTAGGGTATAACATGTTATTACTGAAAAAAAAAAAAAGAGTCAGCGTGGTTAATTTAATTTTTACGAAGACAAGGTCTTGCTAGAAGACAGCTACTTGTCAATAAGCCACTTCGTAGTTACGAATGCGCGTGACTCTGACGGGTCAGAGATATTCTGGATAAACACTGACGTTACGCTGCTAACACCATTAAATATCAAATATATGCAGTTATACAGACCCGATGTTTCTGCTCAGAACCAATTTGCGTTAAAACTGCTTTTTAAGATCAGAGGTGAGATGTTTGTAGCGTTTTCGATGCTTCCGTTTAGTAAATATTAATCGTTAGATCTGAAAAAGTCCCAACCAGCTGCTGGATCTAGTAATCAGGTAGGCAGAAGGTACTGATAGAACCTGACGTCATCAGCTATTGTGAATTTAGAAAGTGCAGACGAGAAAACATTTCAAAGCGAACTGATGGACTAAACAGTAATGAAAGCAGCAGTCCTGGTTGCTGTCATAAAAATTGTGCACATCAAGATCACGAGAAAATACATTTGTCAGTTACAAAAACAAATAAAAACCAAATATTTTTGACCAAAAGAAACTTAAGATGGTACTTTACATTTTAGAAAAACCATGCCAGGAACATATGCAGCTGTGGACTGAGGGAACATCACATCCCACCTGAAAGGTGGAACTCCAGAGTGCCAGGAGAACCACAGTTTTCCTGCTCCTTGAACTGGACCTGAATGGCTGCTTTTACCCTCCTCTCAGCCAACAGCAGTCGACTTCAATTAAACAGCAAGGTGTTTCTGAACACTAATGTTTGTTGGTGTGAAGTGATCGTGTTTTTATTTCAACATGTGAGTTTGCTTGCAAAAACCTTACAGGAAGTGAAGTTTTTGGTGTCGAGCTTCATAAAGGCAGCAAACACCAAACATTTACCCTCGACCAGTCCTTTTATGCCAGAAGTTGCAACAAACAGAACCGAGAAACGGAAAAAATGTGCTCGCATACGTAAAACAATAACAGCGACATTTGACTGTTTATACAGCGTGACCCATGACGATTACCCATGATGCCGTGCGCGGAGAAACCTACGAAATGGTTCTATGCGGTGCAGTTGATTTATCAAACATTTTCACACAAACTCACCATTCTTGACAAAACCTTATCCCCACAAAGCCTGGCTCGTATGTTCCGCCGTCTAAATCCATCAGGATTTAAAAAGCACGTATTAAAATAAAGCCTCGATAATTAAAATAATGTGGCACTCATCACTCGGGAAGTTACTCCAGCTTCAAACCGTGTTAAAAATGGACGACTTGTACATCCGGGGAACATTGGGGACATGGCAATGACGTAATACGACAGCGCCCCCTAACAGTTCGGCGGAGTAAAGAAATAAAACCATGTTTATTTTTATTAATTTTTTTAATCTTTGTTAAAACAATAACAACAAAACAATACAATAAAATGCAGTAAACAGTAATGATATAACAGACGCCAGGGGCTTACAAACACTGAGACAATAATTTACAATAACATATTTCATAAATATATTGAAGAGAGCACATAAGGTGCAAGTTTTTATGGCCTTCGTGTTGGTGGAGTATTTAATAGTTTTGATGTATTGTTTGACCTCATTTTCAAAAATGGAGATAAGAGGTTTTTGATTAGTGTACCGACATTTATGAATATGCCATTTAGCTAGGTATATAATAAGATTAATAATAAAGAACTGTTTTTCTTTACCTGTTGGGTAGTCAGTGAACCCAAACAAAACATGTTCAAGCAAAGTGAGAGATCTGGTTCTATAAAAGTAGAACTCAAAATACAAATACTTTAACAAAATTGAGTCGAGAAGGGGCAAGACCAAAATAAAAAGCCATCTTCTGGGTTTTCATCCCAACAAGAGCAAATTATATTTATACCCTTGTTAAACCATTGTAAATAGATTTTGGATGGGTAAAATCTATGAATAATTTTGAATGATACTGATACTTCTCTTACTTTATTATTTATCATGTATCTGGTTGGTAAATTCCAAATCATTTTCCAGTTAAGGTTATTAATAAAGATGTTCCAATAAGGTACCGCATATGGAGTTGACACAACATCTTTCTGAAATAGTGAACGTATACGACAGATGCTGTTATGGGTTGAGGAGAAGCAGATTTGATCAATTTCAAGTTTGGTTGGATCAAAGGGTAATAGTGTTGGATTATGTCCTGTTGTACTTCTGTGTAAAATAATTACTCCAGTAGGGATTGCCTTTATTACAATATTAAATTTGTTAATAGGGATCATAATGTTATATTTTATGACAAATTCTTGATATGACATTAATGATCCATCAGTGTTGAGCAACTAATAAAACCATTTTTAAAAGACCAACTTTTGTGACTGTAGAAGTCAGATGATAAACTTCAAATTATTATTATCGTTTTTAATATTCCATGGGCTTGATTTGTTTTAACATCATGACAAAAACTGCCTTGATGTAAAATATATATACGTAGTTACAGATGGTGACGACACTAGGCAGTAAGAGTTGATACTGCGCAATTTCTTTTTCTACTGTCTTAGCCGTTTTCAGGGGTCGTCACAGCGAGCATCCTCCTCCATCTCACCAGAAATGTAAGAATCTGAATAAAAAAAGGGGATGCGGGGTAGGGTACGAGCAAAAGGCCATCCATCCATCCATCCATCCATCCATCCATCCATCCATCCATCCA